TGGGAGGGCCCTTCTGAGTTCTCCCAGGGCCTGATATGTCTCCACGTTTCCCCAAATTTAAAGACATAAAAATAAATAGGAAGTTATTCATCAGGCCAGATAACACAGGCACACTTGCATGCACCAGCATGAACTTAGAGAAATGCGTGAATGTGGATCCAAGTTGAGATGTAAAGTTACAGTGGGATAACCATTTTAGATTGTGACAAAGACAAATTCACAACACCTCATGCACCATTTTGTACTGGGTGGCTGCTTAGAAAAAGTATATTATCAGAATTAGCATTTCAAATTTTCCTAGGCTATATATTATAGCAAAAAAGAACACATTAATTCTATCAATCATGCCATCGTGGAAACTCAGTAACTATCCTAGCCTCTCAGTGTCACGGAACTATTATACAGTTTACCAAGGTGATCTTTTAAAAAGACTATGCAACTTTCTTTTGTTTGTTGCTTGGGTTGGGTTGGGTTGTTTTTTTGTTGTTGTTGTTTTGTTTTGTTTTTTTGACACAGAGTCTCACTATGCAGCTCAGGCTCACCTGGAATTCTTTCTTGAAACCTCTGCATCCTGATTACTGGGAGGTATGAATTTCCAGCACACACCACACCCCACTATGCCGTGGGATGTCCTGTATACTGTGAATATATGTTGCTATGATTGATTGATAAATAAAACGCTGATTGGCCAGTAGCCAGGCAGGAAGGATTGGGACAAGGAGAAGGAGAAGTCTTGGAGGTGGAAGGCTGAGGCAGAGAGACGCTGCCAGTCGCCGCCATGAAAAACGAGATGTTAAGTACTGGTAAGCCACGAGCCATGTGGCAACTTACAGACTAATAGATATGGGTTATTTAAGATATAAGAACTAGATAGCAAGAAGCCTGAGCCATTAGGCCAAACAGTTTAAATAATGTAAGCATCTGTGTGTTTATTTTATAAGTGGGCTGCGGGACTGCAGGGGCTTGGTGGGACCCGGAGAGAAACTCTGCAGCTACACCACTAAGAACATACAACATCTTTATGTATCTTTTTTCCAAATAGCTTTTATAATTTAGCACATCCCATTTGGCTGGAGAAAAGCAGTTGCTATCTGTCCTGCTTGGTCTTTATTATGGTGGTCAGCCATGAGAAGAGATCTAGAACACGACTACCCTCCAAACTCCCCTCATTTGACTGCAATTCAAAGAAAGGAAAACAGAGCCAAGGGAAAGGGAGTCCACTCATGAGCTCGACAGACCCAGGAGGTAGTCAGTCAGGGAGTATTGAACAGCATAGGCTCAAAGACAAGTGAGAAAACATGGCCATGCCCAGCATACAACACCACAGCAGACAGATGTCAACCGGGATATTACTATTTTCATTGCACAGGACTCACTGGAAGGCTAAGGAAGTGAAGTGAGGTTTTAAAACGCCAACAGTGATGACCCTTCTCTACTGTTCTCCACAGTACTGAAGTCTGGTCATCCAGGATTTAAATGGGTCTGTCATTCTGTTGACTTTAGTGTGACATGGTTTGCTTCTGTGTGCTGACTACACAGTGCAAGGCAATGACATTCTTGGTGCTCCTGCGTCTATCCAAATGTGAAGAAACGTGTGCATTTTCAGTCATTTGTCCCCTCAAAAGCCGTGAGATCCAAGAGGCCACGCGCATTCTTGTCCTTAAGTATTTCCCTAATGATGGCTCAGCTGCATGCATGGATGTATCTTTCTACTTGGACTGGGTCACCTGTGTCACTCCTCTGCTTATTCTAAGTACTCACTCCTGCAGATTTCAAATGGTACAGTAGCCAATGACCAGACCAAAGCCCTGAACTCCATGACCTTTTCCTCAACAAAAATTATTGTCATCTGAAATCAATGGAAAGCCATTAAACAGGCATGAAATGTCAATTAAGGTGTACCTACGGAGAAAAAAAAGACATGCTTCACTGTGCTGAGCTGAAAAACACTGGCAACAAAACAAGATAAAATAGAATGGCTTCCACAATCTTTCACCAAGAAAGGAAAGAGCCTGGATCCAGGAGTGGTGGGGCACACCTGTGACTCTAACCCTTGGGGGGCTGAAGCAGGACAGTTTGAGACAGCCTAGGCTTCAGAGTGAAATCCTGTCTCAAAAGAAAAACACACAAAGAAAGAGCGGAGGAGGAAGAGGAAGAAGATGGAGAAGAAGAGGAAGATAATGGAGGGAAGGGAGAGAAATCAGTAAAAAGAGGAGAGTAAAGGAGAATCTAGTCTTCAGAAAGCCTCCCATCAGGCAGACTGAGCTAGCTCCTTCGGAATGCAGAAACCAGGGCTAGAGTAGAGATGCACTCAAACCCTGAGCTCCATCCCCAGCAACGCAAAAAATTTAAGTAAATGAAAATAGTCCCCAAACCATTTCCCCACCAGTTTAACAGGCTGTTTCCAGGATTTATAAAATAAATAAATAAATAAATAAATAAATAAATATAAAATAAAATGGATTGCCCCAAATTTTTTCCAAAAAAGAGCTTTGTGAAGATACAACTTAGTAATATGCATATATTAATTTTACCAAAACAGTAAACTATTTTTAGTAGAAAAAAGAGAGAATGATGTTTATGAAGGTGAAATAATAACAGGAAAGAAGGTAGAGAAATAATTTAAATGCAGCACGAATAACACTACACAGACTCCACTGAAGCCTGGGGTACAGTTCAGGAGGTAAACCCAAAGGGGACATCAGCATGCACACACCAGGATCATGAATTTATTGATGCATTTGTCCCCTACCTCTTAGATTTTCAACAGGGCGATAATGCTTTTTCTGAAGCTAAACAGTGCCTTTTTTCATAATAATTTACCCACTTCCTAGCGGAAAGATACTGTTTCATATCCTCTAGAGCTGTTTGTAATGATCACAAACAATGATTTTATTCAACTCATCGTTTATGGAGAGCCATGTGCCAGGCTCCACGAGGAAAACAAAATAAATGAGAGGGTCCTGCCCTCATTATGCCCTGGGACAATAACCATAGCGGAAGCGCTCCCATTGTAAGCCCCTTTGAATATTTAGGGTTTCTGTATCGGGGCTTCTACCAGGGTAGCAGGGAGAGGGCAAGGGGAGGGCAAATGAGAGAGATTTGCTGAAGGCCTGGCTAGGTAAGTCTGATATCCGTGGGGTCAGCCTGTGGGTTGGCAGCTGGAGACAGGAGCCTATCCTACCATCCACAGATGGAATCTCTCCTTCCTCAGAAAATTTTCTACTCTCTTTTTAAAGCCTTTTTGTTATCATTTGAATGCAGACTATTCCCCCCAACAACTTATCAATTAAAGTCTTGCTCCTCAGCTGGGGATACAATTACAGGTGATGAAAGTTGTATTTGTTGTTTTTCGGTTGCTGAAATAAAATACCATGACCAAGACAACTAACAACCAAGGACATATAGAAAAGGAAGTTTATTTTCAGCATAAGGGTCCAGAGGGCTAGGAGTCCAGCATGGAAAGAAAGCATGACAGCCAGCAGGAGTCATAGCAACCAGAGCAGGACGCCAGGAGCTCACAGCTCGACCAAGGGTGGTAAACAGAAAGAAGTGAAAGTTGTCCCCAGGTTTTAACTCTCAAAGTCCACCCCCAGTGACATAACTCCTCCAGCAAGGCCATACCACCTAAGCCTCCCCAAACAGCACCACAAACTGGGGACCATGCATTCAAACTACCTGAGCCTGTGGAGGGACATTCTTAACTCAAAACACCACAGAAGGCTAGTTGGAAGAAGTGGGTCACTGAATGCCCTTGAAAAGGAGTAGCAGGCTATCAGGATTCCAAGCCCCATCCTTTCCCTGACCCTGAGATAACCAGACTGCTTGCTCTCTGCCACCATGTTCTGCCTCACCATAGGCTCAGATACAAGTTAGCCCGATGACCATGAACTGAAAAGTCTGAAGCCATGAGCCAACCATAAATATTTGTTACTTGGAGCTGATTTTCTTAGGTATTTTATGTCCATGAAAGAAAGCTAACCAGAATATCTTTCAACTATGTGGATATGCCCAAAAGATTATCTAGAACAGTGGTTCTCAACCTGTGTGGGTCTCGAGCCCTGTGGGGAGGGTAAATGACCCTTTCCCAGGGGTCGCCTAAGACCATCAGAAAAACAGATACTTGTATTACAATTCATAATAGCAGCAAAATTATAGTTATAAAGTATCAATGAAAATAATTTTATGGTCAGGGACCACCACAACATGAAGACCTGTATTAAAGGGTCAAGCTTTAGGAGTGCTGAGAACCACTAATCCAGAATGATCCACCTTACTTAAAGCCAATTGGTTACCCATGTTAATAGCAACTACCTAAGCATGAGTTTAATTGGATCACTGGGACTATCATTTTGCTGGAAGACACATCAAATAGATCCTCATAGTTACTCAATGTCTCTTCATTATTTTCTCCTGTTTTCTGGTTTATCTGAAGTCAGAAATGGTAGCATAAACCTCTAAGCCTAGTACTCAGGAGGCTGAGGCAAGAATATGGTGAACTGGGGCTCAGCCAGGGCTGCATAGCAAGACCCTAACTCAAAAGATCAGAAAATATCAACGAAAGCCACTGATGTCTCATCTCATTTTGGACCACACTGAATACAGTCCTCTCAGGAAATACGCCATGCTTACTTACCCTTTTCTTCCTTTGCAAGGTCAGCCTGACACAATGCTCTATCACTAAAAAAAAAAAAATCAACCACAACAGCCACCACCACACAAACCTCTGCTTAAATCCTGGTTTTAGAAAGATAGAATCCATAATGAAGAGATGCCGGAAAAGATGAGGCTGGAGACAAACTTTGCATCCTCTTGACTGTACCTCAAGTGGGAGGAGGTAAAGTGTGGAGAGTGGCCTTGATTTTCACACTGTGGATTCCAAACCCTTTGTGATTGATGCCTTTTGTCAACCCTTGTTTGCAATTAATCCACCTCTTGTTTAAAGTTATTTTAACTACAACCCGTCCTAATTTACTTAACTGACCTTATTTGTGCCACAGGTGTTGGTTTTAAATAAGCAGAGCGGTTAGTGGCGCTGGTTACCGTGCGAGGAAAGGTCATGAGCCACAACAAAACCCAGTATCAGAGCTTTATTGGAACTGGGGACAGAAAAGAGCAAAGAGTGTGGTCAGCCCCGGGAAGAGGCACGAGCGGGAGGGAGTCTGAGTCTGGCTTTTTAAGGATTCCCCTGCACATGCGCAGGTAGGCTTACGGAGCTACAACACGCATGCACTGATTCCGTGACCACACTGCATGCATTTGCACTGATGACGTAATACATAAGACCCCTTGCTTAGCTACTGAACTGCACATGTGCGGTCATATAGCGGAAGTGGCAGAATCCTAACAACAGACTGTTTGCCAGTGTTCTTAACCAGGGTTATTTGCCCCCAAGAAAGTCCAGCCACTGTCCAGAAGGCACATTTGGTCAATACAACTGGGGGCACCACGAGGCTAGAGGCCAGCGGTGACACCAGGACAGGCCACTGTTCCCTAAAATGTCTGTAGTGCTGATCCTGAGACACTCTGATATAGATCGTGCTACTGTGACATCTGTCACAAATTTCAATCTACTCTCTTAAAATCTGTGTCTAGGAAGGAAAGAAGAAGAAGAAGAAGAAGAAGAAGAAGAAGAAGAAGAAGAAGAAGAAGAAGAAGAAGAAGAAGAAGAAGAAGAAGAAGAAGAAGAAGAAGAAGAAGAAGAAGAAGAAGAAGAAGAAAGGCTGGAAATATAGTGAGCATCATGGGGGTTTTTACCTATTACTCACTGGTTTTTCTACATAAACAGAATCAATAAGATATATAATACATATTAAATATATATATATATTAGATATATATGCACAACTATGAGAAGAGAGAGAGAGAGATTTACTACAAGGAACAGGCCTAAAATCACAGAGGTTGATAAATCCAAAATCTACAGAGCCAGGGTCCCAGTTCAAGAGTAAGGCAAGAAGCAATTGTAGAGCCAGGAAGAGTCTGAGTCCCACTCCAAAGGTCATCAGGTAGGTGCAAAGGTCACCAGGCAGGTGTAAAGGTCACCAGACAGGAAAATTTGCTCATACCTCAAGTCAGCCTTTTATTATCATTTTTTTTAAACAAAGAAACCCATGGTAGGAAGTCATTAGACAATGATGGGATCCTGTGAGATAGGCTGCCTTTCATTCTCTTCGATTGATTGGATGAAGCTCACTCACATTCAAGAAAACAATCTGTTTTTCTCAATCTGTAGTTTTAAATGTTAATTTCATCCAAAACATTCTCTCAGAAATACCCAGAGTAATATTTGACCAAATACCTGGGCACCTCATGGAACAGTCGAACTGAACATAAAGCATCACACACCTGAGGACAGTAGGAAGCATCAAGAAGCTCAGGAGGTTATGTTTGATCCAGGGATGGTGGCGAATGCATGCCTGTAACCCCAGCACATGAGAGCCTGCCCGAGCTGCACAGTAAGTGCCAAGTCAACCAAGGCTACACAATATGAGCTGCCTCAATTCTCCTAAGTGTTTAATAAGTAAGGGATTGAAAGACTGATACACACTAACACAGCATCAATTATTATTTTTATACTGGAAGATCAGTTAATGCTACAGAAGGTTTCTGGCCAAGGTTCTGCGATTGTATGCAACCACTTAGGGCACTTAGACCCTTCTTTGCCAGAATCATGAAGCTAATTCAAGTGTTGGAAAGTAACCGTCTTGGCCATAACAACCAAAGACCCTAAGAATGAAAACTTAGACAGGGCTGGATATGGAGCTCAGTGGCAGAGTATTTGCCTAACATGCATGAGTCCATGGGTTTGAGGCCATGGAGTTGGGAGAGGATCAGCTTGTGAAATTTACAATTGAAAACTACATATCCTCTAGGAAAAAATATGACAATGATTTAGATTTGTCTCAAATTATTGAAGAAATCTTCATTTTATTCAGACACTCAAAATGTTGAGCAATTAAACAGAAAACTAGGATTTCACGTCAACCACTAAAAGCAACGGAGAAAGACCAAGCCTATGGTAGTAAAATGATGGTCCACTTCTGCTGTTTTTACTGAAAGTCAAGGGTGCTTAGGAAAGACTGATTGATTGATGTTCTTATTGTCATTATCAACTGGAGCCCTCAGAAGAGGGATTGGTCCTGGCTGTACTTGAGAATTATATGTTGACTGACATAATAGAGTTGCTTAGGATTATATCTCAAGAGTTATTACCAGAATTTCCTTCTCTTTTGGTTAAAAATGCTAATCCAGCTGTCCCATCTAGGGCTAAGCACTTCACAGTCTTGTATTCTCTGTCCTCTGGCCAGTTATGAATCTCTGAATCAATTATTTTCCACCTACTATGAAAAGATCTTCTCCAGTGAGAGTTGAGAGCTGTATTAATCTATGAGTGTAAAGATAAGTATTTAGAGGGCAGTTTGCTATCATGTCTGATTAGAAAATAATAGTAGGTTTACCTCAAGGGCTTGCTACCTACCCATCCATGGACTCTTGACCCAGTTAACAGTACTGGGCATGAGTTCTGCCTTATAGAGCAGACCTTAAATCCAATCAGAGTGATTGGTTATCCTTTCCTCCCAATGAGGATAACTATTCATTTCCTTAACTATTTCCTCTCAAGGTGCAGGGATTATCTCAGAAGAGAGGACAAAAGAAAATGTAAGAGCCAGTTTACAGAAGACTGCCTCAAAACAGTGTGTTCCAGATGTAACAGTGCCATTGCACATGAACTTATTCCACTAAGGTTGACTGCACAAGACCTGAGCGCAATCAAGCCAGCAAAAATTACAGCATGAGTGGGGGAAGAGATCATGAAGTCCCATCCATATGTGATGAGCTCTTGGAAGCTGATGTCTACTAGTAGAGGGGAAATCAATTTTCTTCAGGGATGCAGCCCCTGGTAGGTTGCCCATGCTCCGGTGAACAGCCTTACCCCCATAAACATGCTGGCAGCGTTGAAAGGACTCGGTGGGTCGGTAAAAGAGTGCAATGATTTGGGAAGGAGAAATGGTGGAGAATACAAGAGTTGGAAGAGAAGGAACAGAGGTTGGCTTTGACCAAAGCATGTGTATAAGATTCTCAAATAGTAAGTTAAAATGCTGACCTAGACTTTTACTCAAACTGTTGGCTTGCTTTATTTAAACAGTCCCAAAGTAAACAGTAAAAAAAAAAAAAAAAGTACTAGACATATAAAGTATGGTTAATTAATAATAATAATAATGCTACAATTTCAGAGGCAAGGTTTCCAAAACTATTTTCTCTGAACTTTATTTTATTTTAAAATAAAGTTTTGGATCAAACAAAGTCTTATACTAATGTTATTTTTCAAGGTAATCATCAAGCAAAAAATGTAGTAAGGCCGGGCGGTGGTGGCGCACGCCTTTAATCCCAGCACTCGGGAGGCAGAGCCAGGCGGATCTCTGTGAGTTCGAGGCCAGCCTGGGCTACCAAGTGAGTTCCAGGAAAAGGCACAAAGCTACACAGAGAAACCCTGTCTCGAAAAACCAAAAAAAAAAAAAATGTAGTAATTATTTTAATTTGATCAGTGTCTAGGAGAAAATTTTCAGAATTTGGTTATGCATTTACAATCCATCTATCTGCTAATGATACAAACATTCTTAAATGCTGGTTCATTGGAGCTTATCCCTCTGATATTAATGACATTTTTGTCATTATATACTTTAACATATATGTATCACATGTAATGTGTGACCTGCTACAAAGTTTAAGAAATATTGAATATTTTCAGGATCTGACTGCTTTGGAATAATGCTTTTTACACTGGTTTAATAAAATGCTGATTGACCCGTAGCCAGGCAGGAAGGAAGTATAGGTGGGATAAGCAGACAAGGAGAATTCTGGGGAAAGGAAGGCTGAGTCGGGAGATGTCAGCCTGCTGTCCAGGGAGCAGCATGTAATGGCACACAGGTAAATCCACAGAATACGTGGTGACATATAGATTAACAGAAATGGGCTGAGTTTAAGTGTAAGAGGTAGTCAATAATAAGCCTGAGCTAATGGCCAAGCAGTTATAGTTAATATAAGTCTCTGTGTATTTACTTGGGTTTGAGCAGCTGCAGACCAGGCAGGACACAGGAAAATTCAGCTACATCTGAGCTTTGATTATGAAGCTGTCCCTGTTCTAGTCTAGAGACTGAGGCCAGTACAAACTCCAACAGAGCCGCTGTAAGAGGAGCACCTGCAAAATAGGTTAAAATTCCTAGGCAGAAGAAACCACTAGCAATCCCAGCACTTAGGAGCTTGAGGCAGGAGAAACACCAAGAGTTCAAGACCATCATGGGATAAATAGTGTGACCCTGGCTCAACCCACTGCCACACAAAAAAGAAAGAAAGAAACCAAATACAAACCAAAAAACCCTGAAGACACTGCATTACCACAGCTGGAGGAAGTCAGCACTGGTGCAATCATTGTTGTTTAGTTTTGCAAACCCAGTTACCCAAAGACATGTCTATGGGGTCAAGTGAATAAATTCATTCTTCTTCAACCTAAAATTATTGAACAAGGACCATCCTTCCTAACACACACACACACACACACACACACACACACACACACACACACACACACAAACCACCTCCATAACTAACTACCAGGCAAATGTGCTGCTGCTACTGGACCACTTACCCGTTGGCAAGAAATTCTGGAGCCTCACTGAGCTCTCTGGGCACCCACCTGTAATCTTTATTTAAAATGCACATTCTAGGTCCAGAGAAAAGCTCCATGGTTAAGAGCACTGGCTGCTCTCCCAGAGGAGCCCGGTTCAATTCCCAGCACCCACATCATGGCTCACAACCACCTGAAACTCCAGTTCTGGGGAACCCAACATCCTCTTCTGGCCTTTGTGGGTACCAGGCACACACATGGTGCACAGACGTATATGAAGGGGAAATATCCATACACATAAAATAAACAAAAATCTCAAAAAAATTAAAATACACATTTGCCAGTGCAGCAGGGAGACTCCAGTTCAGAATAACTTCTACATTTTATAAAGAACTAGAAGAATTTGAAGGCCTCCGACACAAATGATGTGTGAGGCGACATTTGTACTAATTACATCAATGTTTCGCTGTCTGATCAGGGTTGGTCTTCTCTTCTTAGCCCAGGGGATTTCAAATTTCCCCAAGCTTGAGTTATCTGGTAACCAGATACCATTCTCAAAGATACTGTGTAGACTGGTTCAGGGGCAACCCGCCTTCCCAGGTGACCACTGGTTTAAGTCAACTGTAGGTGGCCTCCCACCCACTCAGCTACTTCACCACCGCCTTTGGAACCCATGGCCAGATTTCCAACTCCAGAGGACAAGGAGGTCCTAGAGATTAAGAACTTTAGTGTTAACCAGAGGAAGTCCTTCTGAACTGAAGCCTCCACATCCTGTGCATGATCTCAGAGAAGCTCTTTGGGAAAACTGTCCCTTACTCCCTATGATGATTTGAACAAAAATGGCCCCCATAAGCCCATAGGGAGTGGCACTGTTAGGAGGTGTGGCCTTGTTGGAGTAGGTGTGGCTTTGTTGGAGGAGGTGTGTCACTAGGGGGTGGGCTTTGAGGTCTCAGAAGCTCAAGCCTGGCCCAGTTTGTCACTGCCACTTCCCTGCTGCCTGAGGATCCAGATGTAGAACTCTCAACTACCTCTCCAGTACCATGTCTGCCTACATGCCGCCATGTTTCCCAACATGGCAATAACGGACTAAACTTCTGAACTGTAAGCCAGCCTCAATTAAATGCTTTCCTTTATAAGAGTTGTCATGGTCATGACATCTATTCATAGCAATTCCACAACCTTCCAAAACAGTCCAACTGGCTGGAGTCCGAGTGTTCCAACACCTGAGTCTGTGCGGTACATTTAATGCTTAAGCCACAAAGAATATCTGAGATGCTCTTTTCCTTATATTTACCATTTTACTATTGGCTACTTGAAGCAGAACAGTTCTTATGATGGAAAGGGACTCCCCTTTTTTTAAATTAATACGCACAGAAAAACACACACACACACACACACACACACACACACGAAATATTTTTTTAAAGCAATGCAATCTTATTGAACAACACCCCAACAATCAGAAGTATAGAAAGTAAAAGCAGCATTCTTAAAAAATCAGCACTTCATCCTGAAGACTCTTCTCTGTCCAAGATGCCATGCCTCACTCTCATTCTTTGTTAAGACCACTTTTTTGCCCATAGTACAAATGCGCCATACATTCTCAGTTTTCTCCTCAATCACCAACTGCTTTTCACTGTTCTCAACAATGCCACAAAGAACAACCTTCCACTGAGCACTGTCCCGGGTAGCAGGCCACAGAGAAGGCAACAATACAACCTGGAATTGAGCTGAAAGGTCTGGGGCTGGGGGTGGGGGAGGGCTTGTTGTACTTTGCATGGAGCTGTGGCTCTTACCATTTGTGTTAGTTATTGTCCTGACCAAAGACCTGGTGAAATAAGTCAAGCAAAAAAAAAAGGTTTGCTTGGGCTCACAGTCTGAGGATGTGGTCCTTCATGGCTGGGAAGGCAGATAACAGGCAGCTGGTCACATTGAGACTACAATCGGGAAACAAGGAGTGATGAACGCTGTTGCTTGGCTCACATTCTCCTTGTTATTCATTCTAGGACCCATACTATGGAACGGTGACACTCACATTCAAGGATGGTCTTCCCTACTCAACTGAACCTTTCCGAAAACACCCTCATAGACACACCCAGAAGTATATATCTGTGATGATTCTAAATCAGGCACCTGGACAATGAAGGCTGATCACGGCCAGAGGGACTCAGTGCTGCCTGGGGTAGAGTCGCTGCCCTCAGCTGGCTCACCCTAAGATTGTATGGCGAGTATCGATCATCAGGGAAAGTGACAAGTGTGGATTCAGGTGGGCGGAATGCCTCTCTAAGCCGTGCTGTGAGCCTATGCTTCTGCTCTCACCAGGTGCGTCCCTAACCAACGTGGCTGCTCTCTCAAGACCTGCCTAACTTTTCAAAGATAATGCTAGGACAGTCAAGAGCATTTCTTCTGGAAAAATACATTGGCTATATATCTGGAAAATATTGTAAGTACACGCAAACATTTTGTGTATGCACATGTGCAACATACCTAGAAGTTATGAACCAGTATCATGAATGAATGTTAAATCAATTAATATCAGACAACAAAAAATACTTCTATATAAGCCCCCCATCAACCTACAAGTCAGAGACATGCGTCTGTTTCCTAGATACCCAAAGCTATGTGCTAGTCTACACGTATCTCACTAAGACAATGACTTACTATTTACTTATGTTAAATACATTCATGGCTGCTTCAAGTTTTAAAGATACTCTCCATAACTATGAAGATGAATTTTATGTATTAATTTGACTGAGCCATGAAGTGCCTAGATATTTGGTCAGACACTTTTCCTGCATATGTTTTAAGGGTGTTTCTGGATAAGATTGACATTTTAATTGGTGTTCAGAAGAAAACAGATTGCCCTCCCTAACGTGGGTGGGCTTCATCTATTGAAGGAAGGCCCAGACGGAACAAAAAGCTGAAAAAGAAAGAATTCCCTCTGCCTGACTGACGACCAGCCTTTGAGTTGGCGTTGGTCTCCTGCCTTGGAACTCAGATGTGAGCATGCTCAGTCCGCCTAGTCCTCAGGCCTAGACACCAGCTCCCTCGAACCACTACCCCACATGCAAATTTTCAGACTGTTCAGACTCCATAATCACACAAGCCAACGTTATACAGCAAATAATATGGTGTAAAGGATGGGGAGGAGCAAGCATCCCTAATCTGAAAAGCTAAAATCCAAAGTGTTCCAAAATCTGAAATTTTCTGACCAGAAAATGATGCCCGAGTAGAAAACCTTACACTGTGAAACCTTATTTTCTGTATAAGATTGTTTTAAATATGGTTTTTAAATTACCTTCAAGATATTTGTACAAGACATGTATGAAACATAGATGACTTTATTGTTTATACTTGGGTACCACCCCCAAGACAGACAGACAGACAAACAGACAGAGAGACATTCTGTACATATGAAATATATATGATATATACTATATAGTACATAAATACTAATTTTATATAAATGTATATTAATACTGTATATATGTATATATATTGAAATACTATACTTATATGTATTACATATACATATATATGTAAAACATCTATGCTATATCTATCTATACCATATGTTTATGTATAGTAGATATCATATACTATATATATGAAATATGAACTATATATTATATAAGTACTATATTTTTTCATATATACATGAAAATACTACAAAATCCATAACATTTCTACCCCCCAAATTTCAGGTATCGGGAATATTGACAGACAATCTTGACTGTCCACAGGATTTAGCACCAAGAAGCAGTCAAGCTTTCTGGGAACGTCAGTGAGGGATGTTCTAGGTTCGGTAAACTGAGATGGGAAGACCCATTCTAAGAGGTAGACCATACACAGGAGAAAGCAACTGAGCACTGGTGTCCACGGCTCTCAGTGGATACCCTGTGGCCATCCGATACCATGACTGCCCTGCTGTGGCGGACAGCATCCTTTAAGTCTGAGCCAGGCCCTTCTTCTCCTCGGCTGCATTGGTCGAGTGTCCAGTCACGGCAATGAGAAGAGTAACTGACGTACACACCAGCCCTGCTAACTTCAGTTCTCTGAGGAAGACAGCCCTCTGCCATTTTCAGACATGACAATAATTCATCAAACTGATTTTTCTCCCATCAACACTGCATCCTGGTTCCCACTGTTGCCCTGCCACCTCTTTAAACCTAGATCCTCCCCGCTACACACCCACCCATACTTGGCTTGGTTGATTCTGTACTTTCCTCAAGTGGGTAAGAACTCTTCTTCAAATACCTGAGTGTCACCAATGAATGTCATTTCAACTGTCTCCTCAAGCAGAGTGACACAGAGCTCCTTGTTTCAGCTTAATTTTCATCACCTTTCAAGCTCCACTGTACAGCAGATTTCCTGTCACGTTACACCCAGCAGGGTGTGCTCTTCACGTGACTGAAGTGTAGGCCCTGCTGCCAGGACTTGGGCTTTGTCCTGCTCACTGAGACATCCAGGTCTCTAGGAGAGGAAGTGGTCCTGGTTAAGTGCTCGGTGAGGGTTTGTTGATAGGCTAAATGAATGTCCTTGTATCGCCTTTTGATGTCTCAAATCAGATCACCTGACAAGTATACCAGTTAAGGTGAAAAGCCAGAAAACGAATCACGATTTCGATGGTTATCAGGATGTGTGACTGCACCTCATAGTTTTCTGCTGGAGTACAAGGAGAAAAACTTCAAGTTCTATAAAACAATTTGTGTGGCTACTTTCCAAATTTTTCTCACTCTCAAGACATTTTATATTCATGAGCCTTGATGTTATGGCAATAACTCTGCCTTCAACCACATTTCATTTCTGGTTTCTAAAAACCTAGGCACTGTTTTTGTGCCAAGTCCCAGCTGGGCTATTATTGATGAGTAAGCGTACTATTTGGCTTCATAGGTCAATGACTATTAAGTCTTGGATCAGAGACCAATTTTTGAACGAAAGGCTAAGCTAACGTGTTTTATTTTTCATGGTGAGTGGTTATCTTCTGGTCAACTTTGTTCTACAGCACTGAGATCCCTAGAAGAATGTGCTTGGCTTGGAGAGGCTAGAGGAGATTGACTCTTAGATAAGGTAAATGTCACCTCTTCCATTTTCTCTGGATCCTGGGTAAGTTTCCCATTGTTCTTTAAATTATGCAAAAATGAGAGAAACCTGAAAGAGAAATCCGAACAACTAGGAAGGCTCCATTAGACGTTGGCAGAGGCCCAAAGAGACCACCAAGCTTGCTCATAAATGTGCGGTGTCTAATAAAAATGTGCTGGTTATTATTATTATACATTTATTGAGTAGCAAAAATGCACTAAATTAAAAAATGTATACTCTCTGGTTTTCATATCTCCTGATGGGGGATAGAAACTGCTGGCTGTTTGCTTGTCCCAGTGACTGGCACGACGTTCTCATAGATGGTGGCTGCCAGGAGTCACTATCCAATTCAAAGGCTGAAGTTTCCAATGGACCATGGTCCACACCTCCCTGCCTCACGTCACTCTGGTGCCATTAAATTACAGATCAATTCTATCCTCTGAGTGGAGGTGGCTTAGGAATTTCTACCAAATCCATTGAATTTTCCTGTATTTTTCCAAAAGAAAGGCTTCCATTTGAGGTTTCAAAGTGAGCAATTTGCTTCATTTTAAAAACTATTTATTTTTATTTATGCGTCTGAGTGTTTTGCCTGCATGTATGTAGATGTACCATGTGCATGCAGGGTCCTTGGAAGCCAGAAGAGAGCATCAGATTCCCTGGAATTGAATTAGACAGTTGTGAGCTGCCATGTGGGTGCTGAGAACTGAACCCAGGTCCTCCGAAAGAGCAGCCAATGTTCTTAACCACTGAGCCATCTCTGCAGCCGCCCCACAATTTGCTTCTTAACCTAGAAGTCATGCAAAAGGACAGACTTGGCTCCCTGCATCTACTTGTGATTGATGTATCACCGAAGGCATCCTTGACCATTAAGCAAACTCTCATTCAAGATGGAAAACCAACAACAACAACAAAAAAAATAGTTCCACGTAATAAATAAATAAATAAATAAATAAATAAATAAATAAATAACTCCCTAAACAAGCATTTCCCAACTCTTAGGCAACTGGTCTTAAAGATATACACAGCAAATGTGCAGAAAATTACAACCCACACCTGACACCTGAAATGGATACCTCAGGAACTGCTTGCTGTCTCTAAACGAAGACACAAGAGTAACACACAGTTGGGGAGAGCTCTTAGTGAGAGGCTGATGTCGTCCTGTCCTCCTCTTAAAGCTCCACACCACAGTGAGGGCAGCCGAAGCAGAGGGCAAGTGTGACAGGACCCAACTTGACTGGGCACTGTTAGCCCAGCACACCTAAGGCAGCTACTGAAAAGGAAGACTCCCTTTTGACACCTACAATTATTTTCATGCACTAATAATATACATTAAATTGGTCATTTGTGAGCTGAATTCAGCACTGGCTCCTCATTTTGACCAAATAAGGGATCATTTTCTGGTGAAATTATATTTTACAAGCAATTTCTGTGTCTGCATACCTCAGCTGAGACAAACTCTAAGTGCAGCAAATGACAGCAAAAGCATCCTTTAACGCTCCACACAGTAGGATCGGGGCTCTAGCCCAGCAGCAGAGTGCTTGCCTGAGACGTACAAAGACCTAGGTTGGACCCTTGCACTGTGGAAAAACCAAAGCAAATCAAGAACACTCAATGCATCTAATTCTTCACCTTCCATTTTGGATCTTTCCTCTCCCAAGACCATACATCAACAGCAGTCATGTACATATGCAGATTCCAAACAGTTCTTCTTGTGTCTTCTTCCAACTCCAAATCGGTTGAGTCAAACAATTATTCTCAAAGAAAAGCACAATCGTGATGAACAAGGCTTGGTTTGCCCTCATCAAAGAAGCTCCTTTTTGCAACAGAGGCGGCCCTTCCAGAGATTCACAACTGGTCAAAATGAAGAGAATAAATGGCCGTGGAGTGCCCAGCTCCATCTGGTACATCTGCAATGCAACCCCAACACCCAAGGCTGTGAGAGCATCGCACAGAGGGAGTAGAAAGATCAGAAGAGCCCACGAGATGCCTGCGGCAATATAGTGTCTTCTGGATATGACAGGGACGCTGCACCCATGAAATCTAAAAGATACGGTTGCTTAAACCAGACTTGTATAAGACACCAGTCAATATGCCAGCATAGATGTGGGAAATTTCCCACAAGTCCCCAGCCCAGATGACAAGCTACAGGCAATCAATGGGTACCAAGAGAAAGAGAATCAGTCTTCTGGGATGAGTCCCCGATAAACTGTCCAATCCCAATTGGTCAGCCCTAAACACACATGTACATATGAGTAAGACTAAGTTATCTCAGTAGGTGTGTTACGATAATAATTATAGAAGAAGAGCTATTGGAAGAATTTGGAAGTGAGTTGGGGAGAGCACAGGAGTGGTTGAAGAGGGGAGAGTGAGGAGTGGAAATGATGTAAATACAGTATGAAAATATCAAAACTAAAAATAATAATTAAAATACTTACCTTATTTTTGAATCTACCTAATTTTCTTAACTCGTGTTTCCTTATGTAATTTTATACTCAGAAATATTTGGCATGCCTGGGTACTCAGTAGCAGAACACTTGCTTGGCATTCAAAAGACCCTTGGATCAATCCTGGCACAGAAAGAAAACACACACACACACATACACACACACACACACACACACACACACACAAATGTATTCACACAGATAAATACACTTGTAGGCTTTGCAATTCATTCATCACCTCTGTCTTTCCATGCAGAAGACAGTCTGTGCGTCCATATGATGCTAAGTTTAGTAGTATGTTAAATTCAGTGAAAAATAATTTAAACACATCATTAAGGAAATGGTTCGGGTGGATAAATAATGCAAGATTATTCTCAGTGTGAAGACTAGGATGAGGCGAGTGAACTGTCAAGGTGCAGGATCTGAGAGGCCCCCTCTCAGGAACTCATCGTGTGTATATGATCTCTAAGAGAGCCCCTCACTCTGTGCCCATGGATTGCCTCTCCAGTCACCTGAGTCATGCCCTTCTGGGGTCCAGTCACTGTTGCCAGGAGTGATCGGGACTGGTCACTCTAACACATGGAATAAAGTCAAGTCCTACCGCACGGGTCACCAGGAGCCCTCCTGTCACTTCAAAATAGTGAGGTTTTCTAGGCAAGGGCTGACCACACCCACGTTGCCACACGTGTGTTGAGACCTGTGGTGACAAAACGGTTATTTTAAAGTATTTATATTTTTAATTGGTTCATAATAATTGTGCATAGTTAAGAGGATACAGTGTGACCTTTCAATACACGCATACAATGTATAAAGATCAGATCAAGGTCGTTGGCCTACCCATCACTTCCTCAAGATTTCTTCAGTCTCTTTTTATTTCTGTAGTACTGGGAATGGAATCTGGGGCACTGGGCATGCTGGGCAAACACTCGAACACTGAGATACACCTCCAGACCCAAGAATTGTGTTTAGGTCTTACTCACCAACTTTCCATGGATTCCCAACTCTTGGATGTTCTTCTGTCTTTTGTCCCTCCTCAAGTATTTGTAGATTGTAAGTGGGAAGTCAGAAGCCCCAAAGGACCACGGCTACCCTGGGCTGTCTGCTTGGATGTTCATTCACTTGCCATCCCAAACTCGGTTTCTGCAGCCAGGCACATCACGTCTCCCTCTGCATCTTTCTGCTTCCACAAGATGTGAAAACGACATCCAGCCAACCACGCTGAGGCACTGGTCACTCCGATGGACATTACTGGGAGACCTGTCGCTGCTCAAATGAGATTAGTCCCTAACTGATGCACACGGTCTCACTGAAAGGGCCGTTCTGTAATTGTTGCCATTAGTGCCGTGACCTTGAGGTAGTCACAGACCCTTCCTGGAGGGACTGGGAAGCTCCAGAGGCCAGGGCACTCATGTAGAACAGAAGGCTCTGTGCTAATTTCCAGGCTCCTGGCCATTAGGGGACAGAAGCAGCTCGTTAGAGGTCCTACCCTCTCAACGCCAATTACCCCAGGATAATGACCCAACGTGGAGCACCCTGGGAACTCTTGGGACTTCACACATCCCTCTCATTCATGATCTCTGCTGATGACAGCTACAGACATAAATAAACCAGGCCCTCACATCTTCTCACAGCCAGGTTGGGTGACACAGCCAGTCATGTGGACATGGGGTCATGTTCATTTAAAGACTGATCACAGTTTTTAGTTACCTGTGTCTTAGAGAAAATGCTTACACTTCACATAAGAGGGTAGCCTAAAACACTGTTCTTTTGTGCTACACACACACACACACACACACACACACACACACACACACAATTCCTGTTCCTCTGATAAGGAAACAATTTTGCAGCAACGCAAGGCAAAAATTAGTAGTTTTTGAAGTGCTAATATCCCTAATCGTCCTTTCCTTGTGTGTGTGTATGTGTGTGTGTGTGTGTGTGTGTGTGTGTGTGTGTGTGTGTGTGTACATATTCAAGCATGCATGTGTGTGTGTACTCATGTGTGTGCTTTTAGAAGCCAGGAGCCAACGACAAGTGTCTTTCTTAAAGAGACAGAGTACCTCACTGGATCTGAAGATCACCAGTTTGGCCAGATTGCTAGCCAGAGAACTGCAGAGATCTCCCAGTCTCTGCACTGGGATTTCAGGCATGCACTGCCGTGCCTGGATTTTCTTGTGCACACTGAGGATCAGAACTTGCCTCCTCACACGTGTAACCTCGTCCCTCACCAATTGAGCCATCCTCTCGGAACCCATTATCTCTAATCTTTGCAGGAAGCTATACAGAATTGGAAAAGTAACCTGGATGTCCTCTCAGCCTGTGGCATATTTATTTGGTTGAAAAGGTTTTGTTAGGAGAGAGTTTGGTAGGAAGATATGGAATTTTCTAGAAAAGCAGAAAATGAAAAAAAAAATTGCTTTGTGCACCAGTGTATTTCACCCTCAAGTATCACAGAGCCCTGGCCTCAGGGCCTGACTTTTGATGACTTTAATCCAACGACATTAGAGTTTCTCCTCTTCTTTGCTCTTCGGCCTCGTTCGTTATTTATTTTGCAATTTTACACCAAACCCAGAAACCACCGTTTGGGGGAGTTTCCACTTCCTTCTCCCACTCAGCATACCCACCCCCACCCCACATAGGCCCTCCTCTTGGATAGACACTCCCTCTCATACTCCGAAGTGACATCTGAAAAAAGGAGCCAAGTTACTCAGGTCCCAGCTTGTTGCCAGCGAGGTCTCC